CTTGTCGTGATGTGGCGGTCGTGATCAAGGAAGCCGAAGCCGAAATTTGGGAGTGATGTCTCTTTTTCACATGGGGACTAATAAGAGCAGATGGTCATGGCTCCTGAGAAATCAGGGAAGGTGATCCAAAGACTGAAAGGAAGTAGAAGCAGTGGGGTGTATATTATCCTTGAATGGGTACATGAGGGAAGCTAGTTACATAGGAAGTATTGTGTGATAGAGCTTGTGGAAGGAGAAGATCCAAGGACCAGAGGTATAGTGTGGGAGAGTTGATGGATGATGGGGATTTGAAAACATGATGGAAAGGAAGGAAAAGGAGGCTGTGTGGGTGCCATAAAACCAGCTACTGAAAGAATTAGAATTTAGGAACAAGTTTGCTACACTGAAGAATTCAGAGGAGAAACAGTCAGATAGAGAAGATAAGGTGGCTAGGAAGAAGAGAGAAGTAGCTGGCACTATGGGAGGAGAGAAAGAGGTGGTGCAAATAATTGTGGACTGGATCCCAATGTGGATGATGTACAGGAGGCTGAAGGAGGAAATAAGGCAGAATAAATTGCAGGCAAAAGGAAGAATGCAAGGGAAAGAATGAACACTGATACTGGGAAGAGGCAGGTCTTTGTGACTGGGGATTCTTAATAAAGAATAATTGACATGCTGCCGCTAGAGCAGATTCAGACAGAGAGGCTGTGCTGTTTGCTAAGAGCAGATATGAGGTGTGTACCAGAGACTGAATGTGATCTTAAGACTAAGGAAAAATCTACTGACAATTCTGCACATTGGGACAAATGGTAATGTAAGATTCACACAGGAATGGGCCAAGAATGATGAAGCTAGGCTGAGATAGATGCTTGAAGAAGCAGAGGCCTAGGTGATTTCTTGTTTTAGTCCAATGGTGGGGAGTTACTTTGGCTGGAGGGCCACTTAACAGGTTTTGGTGATCTATTGAGGGCCACAAGGGTAGCCCCACCCCTTGACAGGTGCACTGTCCCCTTGGTCACCATCTTGGGACTAGAAGTTCCTCCTTTAACCCCTGACTTTTGCCACTGGCAATCCCTCCCATTGCTCCCAGAAATACTCCTTTTGGGAAGGGGAGGTTTGCCATCTTGGACGTGGAAAAAACCAAATAATATATGAAAAATTAAACATCTATTATAACATATTTTAATTTTATTTCAAGAAATATTTTGTCCTTATTTACATGCATTTGCAAAGTGTATATAGAGGCAATTGTGTAATAGCTCAGAATAGTCGTACTCTATATTGTGTGTGCGAGAGGGTATGGGGGAATGTGTTGGGGGTATGTGTGTATGTGGAGAGTTGGCATTTGTGGGGGGGGTTGCTTGGGAGGTGTGGGGTGTTGGAAATGTGTGTGTAGGGTTTATGGGGGGTATATGTGATGGAGGGGGTGTGGGGTTTGTGGGTTGTGTGTAATAATACACAAAGTATTCAAAAAGAGATCTCACAAAGAGATCACTATTGCAAAATAGAAAGGATCCTTCCCTGTCTTGGAAATACCTTGAATGATAGATTATTGGAAGATATTTGCCTTTTTCACAAGCTGCTTAGATTGGTATCTTATTATCATCCCATAATTGACTAATAGAAACAGATCTGATTTCTCTTTATTTTTTCCAACTCCCAGCTTTGTAGCAGAGATGCTTAGTCCATAGCATATAACTTTACATTTTGTACAATTACATTTCATCACAGCCCTCAATGTCATCCATGTTTCTGCATAATATTCTGATTCTTTTCTGTATTGAAAATCCCACACAAACTTGCTTCCACAGCAAATTTTATTGCACACACATAAAATACAAAAATAAAAATATATGAAAATAAAAAATTAATTCCAGTGCCATGACCAATTCTTGGGGAATTCTGTTAAGTAATCTTCCTCCAACCAGCAGCTTCCTTGTCAGCAGCAAGGGTTATCTCCAGAATAGCTGGTTCCCTGCCCACTTTATGGATCTTGTATTAATCTCTGTCTTCTACAGCTCAGCTAATAATTTCTGATGTGACACTATATCAAACATTTCAATGAAATCTAGATAGATTAGATTTACTGCTTATTCATTGTCCAGAAAAAAAATCAGTTTTCTTATCCAAGAAACATTAAGTTAGTCTGTGGTCATCTACCTCTGGGGAAAAAAACATGCATTTTCCCTTTATCTCCATATCTTTAATTGATGTTTTCTTTAAAACTTGTTCTAAAACTTGATCTTGCCTCCCACTCAGGTCAGACAAATCACTATTTCTCCATGCTTCTTCTCCTAGCTATTACATCCAGAAATCCTAAGGCCCTACTAATATTAGAAGTGTTTCATCTCCAGCTTATATATATATGGGTAGTTAACATTTGCCCATAATGACAGACTTCCCAGCGGAATTTTGTTCCCCCTAATAACATTCCTGCAATCCCTACTTATATTTATACACCTTGAGGTCTACAGCAGATTCCCATGACCTGCAGAAGCTTGTGGCTCCTTAGAGTAGCATCTAGCTGCTCTCCTTTTACTTCATCTTGGCTCTGAAATTCTTTCAAATCGAGGGATATTTTGAACTTGGGGTTCCTGTTGAGGCTGTCTTTTTGTTTTTAATATCTGTTTTCTTTCTCAGGTGTGGTACAACCAGAAAGGGTTCCATTCACTGCCATCATACTTAAATCAATTGAACAACCTTATTTTGTGGATGAATTTGCCTTCTAATGTGGACTGGAGACAATATGGTAATGGTTTTCAAATTCTTGTTTGAATTCACTCATTTCTTTCTAACACTACTGATTTAAAACAAAAATTGATTTCCTCTGTTGACATTAAATAGTAGTGTGAAAAATTGGACTGATCTTTCTTAAACCTAGAGGTTGAATTGCAATATTCTGACGGAAAAAATAGTTTAAAAAATCTATCAGAAGTTTTTGGTCAAGTAGGTCTAGCTACAGTTGATAAATAGTGGTACATGGTGTTTGTATTATGTATTCTGCTAGCACTGGATGTCCCACTCTTTTGAAATATCCATTTGTATATGTGTATATATGTTTAACCCCATGAGATTCCTGACTGGGATGTAAGCCTTATATATATGATAACTGTAGGCCATATCTGCAAATGCCCAGTGAGATTTGGAAAGCATTGTTCAAGCTATGAATGGAGAGGGCAATGCAAAGTGTCCAATGGATTAAAGTAGCTTTATACTCTTTTAGATCAGGAGAGGTGGTAAATTCAAAGCAGTATATCTTGGCATTTGAGCAGAGAGCAAGGTAGTTAGCTGTATTATTCTGAAATCAGCCAGAGTACAGGGCAGAGATGTGCATAAGATTTTGTGAGCTCATGATCACTTCACAGCATCTGATGAAGTAAGCTTGTTATCATGAAAGCTTATGAATTTCTGGTTTAGTTAGGCTCTAAGGTGCATCTTTCCTTGCATTCTGCCTGGAATTTGAGGTGAGTGCTACACAATACATTTTATGATTCTTTTTGGTGGGCAGAAAATGCTAAGTACTATTTTGTAGGCAGAAAGTTAGAAAGGGTTTAAAATGTGATAGCAGCAGGAAAGGGCATATAAACATGTGATCTTGGCAAAATCAGAATTGGTGTGTGCTTTACCTGTCAGATAAGGTAGATATATACAAAGTGGTTTTTAAAAAGTGGTGGTCAAAATGCTATTTGGAATATTAAATTTGAAGACTGTCGGTTATTTGTTGCTTTCTTTTTGCCTTGTGTCTACGTGCAAGGAATATGCTGGTGTATTGTTGAAAGGCTTTTAGGAAGCTAGTTTAGATGTCTTGAAAGCGCAGCTCTGTTAATCCTCCTTTGCATTAATGCTGTATCTTGCTTTTTCAGAAGATAGCCTTTTACTGTCAAGATGACTAGTGCTTTTGATCTGCTCTTATAAATTGTCAAGGAAAATATTGGACCATCCAAGGGGGCAGAGTGGACAGGGTGAGCATGGACAGATTCAGAAAAGCATGTGGGCAACTAAAGTACATCTTAGGTAGAATTTTAGCACCTTGGCCCATGAATGTGATTCACAACCCTCCGCCCAATTTTTTAGGGTATGCCAGCTCTCTGTTCACTAGCTGTGAAGTGGTTTATGTGCATAAGCAACACTGAGGAGCATCAAAATGGCAGCGGTAGTCTAGCCTTGCTCACCTCCAAAAGGCAGTATGATTCTTTGTTGTTCAAATTTGTGAATATCAAATATCCAACCCTTGTGAGAGAACTTGCCAAGTGAGAATTTATTAGTTTTATGAAGTGTTTTGAGATATTTGGGCAATTTGAGTGGATGTTTTAAAAATGTAAGTTGATATACAGATACAAAAGGAAAGGTTTTTTGCGGCTAATTTATGACAAAGGAGCAGAAGACTACCAAATTCAAATGCGAAGGGGTAGTGGCATTGGTAATTCAGTGGTCTGTTCTGATATGGCGGGGAAAGAGTATTTCACTAACTGCAATACAGCATTGCCTCTCTACATCATTGTTGGGGACAGCAGTGCCTAACCTCCATAACATGCTTAGATATGCATGTTTTTCTTGTGGAAAGAACTTACCAACCTATCTCACTGGAAAGGAAATAAACTTAATTTTCATTCACAGCTGGAATAATAAAGCGATTATAGCAATTGCTGCTTACCTTGGATTATAAATTCATTGAGAGAGCATGATGGTGAATTTTTTAATGTTAAACATTAAAACAATAATTTATTGGTGGGGAAAGTTCAACAGCAAAGGAAAAATGTTATGCTGGGTTTCAGCACAGCTCTACATGAGTGCTCTGGCTGGCACTTAATTCAATGCATAAAATATATTTTTGTCTTGTAAATTGTCTTTTGTGCATGCTGCCTCTACAGAATTAAATAACACAACTATAACATTAAATAATATCAAAGGGAATGGTAAAATAAGAGGAAAAAATGGTTTTGGCTGAGGGTTGAAAATGTTATAGTGTTAAAATGAAAAAAATAGTTGTTTTACAGCGGTTCCCAAAATATACTAAGCAAACAAATTGAAAGTAAAAAACTCCCTGCCCTAAAAGTTCATGGCCATAGTAGAAAGGAAAAGAATGGTGTCCACATTGTGTTGTGTTATTTGGTAGCCAGGAAGCTTTCCTGTGGCAGCACCTAGATCAGGAATCTGTATTTGGGATTCAATCGTTGTGTTGCCACCTGTTGTCATCTTTGTACTAGGATCATCACTCACTTTATCACTTAAATTAAGAGTCTTGTTGTAAGGCTAATATTTTATCTTCAATTATTTCTTAATTTGAACTAGGTTTCTTCTAAGAGCCTTAATGGAGATGCCACCTAATTCCTGTAGAGCAATTATGCAGGTCCTTGGTCATCTTTGAAAAGCTTAGCTTTAAATCCATTCATCTGGGGTCTTGCTAAGTAGTCCTGTCAGGGGCCTTGTTATCACAGTTTGGGTAGTAGGGAAAAAAATAAAATGTCACTTATTGATGAGCTACTGTTAATGAAATGCTTTATTTAGAGTGTTTAATAAAAGCTGCAAATAGCTGTGTCTCATTAAACAAAAACATCCTGCAAGATTTTCAGAAAGTCTTATCCAACCTAAATATAGATGCCCTCTAAGTAGAACCTATAAAAGAAATTATTGTAACTTATCTCCTTTAGTGACTGGCATTTATGCTGTCATTCACACACAACCCTAGAGGTTCTGCTGCTTAGCCCTGGTGCAGTCAAAATAGGAATTATGCTATTTTCTATCCCTTTATATGGGATCTGTCACCTTGAACCAGATGATTGTACCTCATAGGTTACATATACTGCCACTACTGTCATGCCTCTTGGAGAGCGTGCTGCTAGGTTGGCTGTCTGGGCACTGTGCATTATATATCAGGGTGAGCAAGGGAAAGTTCATCTGGGTACCGGAGTTTACTTGTAATGCCCAATCAGATTATATACCGTGTGAGAAAAATATCAAGAAGAGAGATGAAAAAAAACCATGAAGAAAATGTAAAATTCTTTGAGACTCCTTCCTTTACAGAAAGCTTAACCTTAGTTTCATAATTCTTTCCATTTGATATATACACCAATAAAGGAGAAGGAGCACCCTAATGTCTATATGATGTAGTTAACGTTAAGATTTCAGTGATTTCATGTGTAGAAATGAAGTCCCCTTGAGCGGAATGTTACTGGATAAATCCTATGATATCAAAGTCTAGCAGAAGATATCAGGAATCAGGGGGTGTCCACCCATATCTGGCCACATTTTGATGGGAACCTCTGTACTCCTCCTTCCCTCCTCCAGCCCCACACTCCCAACTGATCTCCACACAGCATGCCTAAAGGATTGGCTGGCTTGCTGACAGACAGTAGATGAGCATAAAGACGGACTGGACTTGCCCCCTCCAGCAGTGGTAAATGCTAAACTGTATCTGGTTATGTGCAAAGGGCTGGTGGAGGTAAGTGGGCCAGCAGAAAATAGTGTTTTATGCCACCCACAAAGGGAGGCAGCTTTTGCTTATCTTTTTTGAGTGTATATTGCAAAATAGTATACAAGAATTCTATAATTATCTCTATTCTTAGTCTGGTGCTGTTTTTTTCCTAGTTCTAGTAGTTCATTTACAAAGGTGCTTTTAGTTGCAGGAAAGGAAGGGAGAGGGGGATTTTCCCTGAGAGAAATATGCTCTGGCACTTGGTTTTTGTTTTTAAGTTCATTAATCTCCATCATGTCACTAAGGACATAGTTTCCTGTTATTCATTAAGTTAATGTAATTTATCTGTGCCACAAATGCAGTGGTATAGTTGTTTTCTTACTTGTATCTCATCCCTGAGACTTGACTGTACTGATAGTTTCATATTTTCTCGCCAACTCTGTTCTTATTTGCACCTGATGAATTCAGTAGAGCTGCACAAATAATAGTAAGGGCACACCG